AGGAAAGGAAAGGAAAGGAAAGGAAAGGAAAGGAAAGGAAAGGAAAGGAAAGGAAAGGAAAGGAAAGGAAAGGAAAGGAAAGGAAAGGAAAGGAACAGGTTTCAGGGAAAGTGAGAGAAGCAGCCTAAAGCAGGTGTTCAGCTGGAGGCCACTGCCTTATCCACACATCTCAGGGGAAATTCTGTCTATGACCAGCTTGTCTCCTTTGTTTTAATTGATTTTAATTGATATCCRTTTAACTGCTGTATCTAATTGACAGTGGCAAAAAAGGGAAGGGAACCCAGTTCCCAGTTCTCTGCTAATTGGCAAAATCAACCAGGATTGCCCCCTTCCTGTGCCAGTCCCTGTGGGAATCAGCTGAAATTCCACAAGTGCTGCCTTTGCTCGAGGGTTGTGCCTTTAATGTGACACAGACACCTGCAGGATTCCACATTCCGTGTTTGCACAGCCCAGATTGAGCCCAAAAAGCTGCAGCTCCTGGCCAAGGTAAACTGGAGGCAGCTCAGAGTTTTAACACCAGGACCTGCTGCTGCAAAGGGAGCAGGGCCCTCCCAGCATCCCATAAATTATTGTCCCATAAATACTGACCCAGCACCCTTAATCCTTATAGGATTATCTTTATTCTCCTCACCTTTAGGAGCAGATTATTAAATACACAGACTCTTTAAAATCACAGCCCTTGTGTCAGGAATTGTGTCAGCTCCAGTTGCTGTGTGCAGGAAAAGACCCAAATTCCTGTAAAAACCCTCCCCCAGAAGAAAAAAAAAAAAATAAAGGAGATGAAATGATTCATAGCACTTGTATGGGGAAAAAAATTTATGGGTTTGTTTTTGGTTTTGCTTTTCATTTGAAGTCTTTTCAGACTCAGTTTAAAAAACAAATTGAGCCCATTCTCTTCTCTTCCTCCTGGTGACAGGTTGCCCAGATGCCTGTCTGGGTCAAGGGGAYGCTGCTGTATTTTGTTTTGCCATCTGGCATCGCCCAGCTCTGCAGATTTTTTTAACCTCTTAATTCTCAGCAGCATTTCATCCTTTGTTAATCCCATAATTTCCCCATATTTGCTTTGTGAAGCTTTTAGAATGATTCCCCTAAAATCCAACCATCAGCAGCTTTTGTGTCAAGGCTCTTCCTGAGCAGGAAGAGGAAAAAAAATTCCCCAACTGAGTTCAAAGCCAGAACTAAACCTCCAACAAAGATTTCCCAGGGATAGAGAAGAAGGTGCAAATTCCCAAAATCCGGGATGGGGCTGGGCACAAAAACTGCCAGAGGTGTCCTCTCTGTGTGTGAGGACATCCCAAAGTGCTTCACAGCATCGCAGAGTGATTTAGGGTGGAGAGGAGCACAGTGGGGTCAAGCAGGGCCATCCTAAAACACAGGATTGTATCCTAAAACACAGAATTTTATCCTAAAGCGCAGAATTGTATCCTAAAATATAGGATTGCAGCTTAAAGCACAGGATTGTATCCTAAAACACAGGATTGTATCCTAAAGCACAGAATTGTATCCTAAAATACAGGATTGCATCCTAAAGCACAGGATCGCATCCTAAAGCACAGGATTGCATCCCAAAGCTCAGGATCACATCCTAAAGCACAGGATCACATCCTAAAGCACAGGATCACATCCTAAAGCACAGGATCGCATCCAGGCAGCTCTTGGATGACAATTTTCGGATATTTGAGCACAAAAGAGTGGGAGAACACAGGCACAGCTCTTGGTTTTCCCAAGGATGAGGGGTGTTAGCAGCGCCAGCCCTGTCTGTATCCCACAGGACCCCACAGAACGCCAAAAACTACAACTTCGTGTCCCTCCTGTCACACATTGGTGACATTATTGCCCCTTCCAGCGCCTTCCCGGGCACCCCCGGCCAGAAACAAATTCTGGAGGGGCAGGAGAACAAACCCGGGGTGCGCAGTGCCCGCCGTGCCATCACAGAGAGGATGCTCTGAGATCATTCCCGGCGCTTTGAGCGCTCTCCGCGGGCGCTGTCGCCTTTGTTTGACAGGCAGCGACATCTCGTGGTGTCCCCACCCCAACCCGGCGGYTTTTCGGATCCTCCAGGGATCGTTCCTGATGTTCTGAACATCGGGGGAATCTCTCGGTTCCTCCCCGATCCGCTCCTCGGGCTCCGCGCATCGGGAGAGTTTTGTCACAGAAGCGGCGGAGCGCGGARTTCAGSGAAAATGTTYCACAGGAAACKRTGACGGTGATGATGATGATGATGATAATGATGATGATGGTGGTAAGATTCATCGCTTGCAAGAAAAAATTACGAAAAATCASAGTCACCTCGGAGAGAAAGTGCCTGAGGGCTCTCAGCCCGAGTGGCCCGRGAGCTGCTCCCGATCGTGTCCGGGGAGAACCAGAGCTGTGTGCCCGTAGTGGCTCTGGAGTGTGGATGCTGAGGGGGAATAAACCTCCAGATCCTGGGAATAAACCCTCCAAACGCCGTGGAAAAACCTCCAGAACATGGGGATAAACCCTTCAAAACCTGGGAATAAAACTCCAGAACCTGGGATAAACCCTCCAAACCCCAGGGAATAAATCCTCCAAACCCCGGGGTATAAACCTTCCAGAACCTGGGAATAAACCCTCCAAACCCCAGGCGATAAATCCTCCAGACCCTGGGGAATAAACCCTATAAACCCCAGGAATAAACCCGCCAAACCCTGGGGAATAAACCTTCCAGAACCTGGGCAATAAACCCTCCAGACCCTGGGGATAAACCCTCCAAACGCCGGGGAATAAACCATCCAAATCCCGGGGAATAAACCTCCAGACCTTGAGGAATAAATCCTCCACACCATGGGGAATAAATCCCCCAAACGCCTGGGAATAAACCCTCCAGACACTGGGGAGTAAACCCTCCAAACTCTGGGGAATAAACCCTCCAAACCCTTCTCTTTGGTTTTTTTTTGTTTTTTTTTTTTTTTTTTTTTCCGTATAAAAGGATCCTAGTCCCTTTTTTTTTGTACAATAAAGAGAAACTCCATAAAAATAAAATAAAATTAAACATAGGCAGCAAAACAGCCGCGGTTATAGAAACCCATGGTAAGAAGAAATGTAGATTTTTGGAGGAAATGATGATTTTATTCCGGGATCCTGGCACTCCCAGCAGCGAGGAGCTCTCTGCTGGGCTGGCAGAGTTTTCCATTTGGGGAAGACCCGGGAAAATCCCTTTTTTCTGAGCTGATGTAAATCTCCCGTGTTGTAACTCATTGATTCATCCCCTGCTGACGGCACAGGCCCGGGGGTGATGGTGATGGGAAGGCAGAGAGCTGAGCTGCCAAACCGTGACTGATGCGGGGATTTTGGCCCCGTTTTTCCCTGAACACGGGGCCGAATCCTTTCATTTGTCCCACGGGAGGGGCACATCCCTGTCCTGTGTCTCCCGAAATCCTGGAGAACATCAGGGTATCGCAAACTGAGAGCAAAGCTTTGATCTCCCACCGAAACCCCTCCCGCTGCTTTTATTGTTGTTAATATTGTTATTAAAATATTGWTGTTAATATTGTTATTAAAATATTGTTGTTAATATTGTTATTGTTATTAAAATACTGATGTTAATATTGCTATTAAAATATTGATGTTAATATTGGCATTAACATATTGTGGTTAATATTGGCATTAACATATTGTTTATATTGTTATTAACATATTGTTGTTTATATTGTTATTAACATATTGTGGTTAATTTTGTTATTAACACGTTTTTAATATTGTTATTAACATACTGTTGTTATTAATGTTATTAACATATTATTGTTTATATTGTAATTAACATATTATGGTTAATATTGTTATTAACATATTGTTAATATTGTTATTAACATGTGGTCATTAATATTGTTATTAACACATTGATATTAACATATTGTCATTAATATTGATATTAACATATTGCCTTGAATATAGATATTAACATACTGTTGTTAATATTGTTATTAACATATTGATTTTAACATATTGTCATTAATATTGATATTAACATATTGTTGTTTACATTGTTATTAACATATTGTTGTTAATATTGTAATTAACATATTTATATTAACACATTGCCGTTAATATTGATATTAACATATTGTTGTTTATATTGTTATTAACATATTGTTGTTTATATTGGTGTTAACATATTGATATTAACATATTGCCATTAATATTGTTATTAACATACTGTTGTTTACATTGCTATTAACAGATCCCTCCCGCACCGAAACCTTTAATTTCTATTAATATTTGACAGGCAGGCGGGGAAGCACCAAAGGTCGSTGTTTTTATGGGATGTCTCACAGGATGAAGCAGCTCTTCCCCTCCCAGAGCTCACCTGGAGGGCGCAGCACCGCAACCTTTACCTTCCCTGCACCCCAAAATCCTCCCCCATCAKCTCCCTGCACCAGGAAACGAGACAGAGCGCATGCCTGCAGCTCCTGAGCTCCTCAAAACCTCTGGAATTTGCTCAGCTCCAGGGAGGAAACACGGCTCAAATGGATCGAGGAAAAAGATTTATGAGCAGTGGGAATTTTGGCTTTGCCCTGTGCGGATGGAGGGTGGGAGCGCTGATGGCTCTGTGCCTTCTGCAGCCGGCTCCAGGTACGTGAGCAATGCTTTTCCTTTCACTTTTCCTTTTTTTTGTTGTTGGAAGAAAGATGAATTTGAATCGGTTTAAATGGGAGCGGTTCACCTAAAGTGAAATGTTTCACGGTGAAAAAGCAATGGTTTAAAATCTGTCTGTGGAAGGGGAGTTATTGAGGGCTAATGAAAAAAAATTAGGGGCAGGAAAATAAACAGCAAAGCTGCACCTCTGAATTTGAATCGGTTTAAATGGGAGTGGTTCACCTAAAGTGAAATGTCTCACGGTGAAGAAGCAACGGTTTAAAATCTGTCTGTGGAAGGGGAATTATTGAGGGCTAGTGAAAAAAAATAGGGGCAGGAAAATAAACAGCAAAGCTGCACCTCTGAATTTGGATCAGTTTAAATGGGAGTGGTTCGTGTAATGTGAAATGTCTCACGGTGAAGAAGCAATGGTTTAAAATCTGTCTGTGGAAGGGGAATTATTGAGGACAAGTGAAAAAAAAAATAGGGGTAAGAAAATAAACAGCAAAGCTGCATCTCTGAATTCCTGTGGGATCTGCCTTTGAAGGATTGGGGTTGASGGAGAAGTGTGGGGCAGCCCTGAGGGCTGGAAATCATTGAAATGCAGTGAGACCACAGTAAAAGCCACTCAAAATYGTAAAATAAATTCACAAAAATGTGGGTCCTAATTCTAAAAGCTGTTGGGATGAGGAAAACTTTACATCAAAATAAAAACCCCCCTGCTTCTGTTGCCAAATTCCAGCCTGAAATGAACTGAGCTGCCTCAAAATTTGACGCCACCTTCATCAGAATCAAAAAATTATATTTTTCATCCATAAAGTATTTTCAAGTAATTCACACAATTTTCCATTTTGATCAGGTCACGTTCAGCTCCTCCCTCCTCAAAATGTGACTCTGCTGTCCAAGGATTTTGCCATGATTTTGGCCTGGGCTCCAGGGGAAGGATTCCCCCCAAACGTCACCTACACCGTGAGGTACGAAAGGTAAGAACTCCCAAACCTCATCCCACTGAAGGGGTGGCACAGGGCATCTCTGCTGATTAACAACTTTAATTAATCACCATGATCAATGACCTTCCACCAGAACTAAAAAATGATCCATGTGGGAAACGTTCCAAACTCAAGGTTTGCTCCCCGCCCTCCCAAACAATCCTTTCTCCTGCTCTATAAATAACAAAAAAACACATTGAATATTTTTTGGTTTGGTTGTTCCTCTCAGCCAGGATCGCCTGGACAAGTGGGTGAAGGTTTCTCACTGCAAAAACATTCCCAGAACTTTCTGCAACTTGACTTGTGCCCTCTCCAACCTCTACGTCAAAGTGCGGGCTCGGGTGAAGGCGGTTTGGGGCCGATCGCAGTCGCCCTGGGTGAAATCCCAGTTCAAGGATTACTACTCAGATGGTGAGTGTTTGTCGGGTGAAATTCCTATAAATGGGCA